ACAGCCCTCCCCACACTTCCCCTCAGCCTTTTCTCCCTCCACCCACCCCAGCCCCTGCTCACACTTTCACTGTCTCCTGCAATCCCCACCTACTGCTGTTTATGTCACCCTAGCTCTGACCCTGTCTCCTCTAACCCTGTTTCTCCCTGCTCCTCTCTGCCTGATTCTGTCCCCTTGCTGTAGTACCTGTGAGCTCCCTCACTCTCTGTGACCCTCTCACTCCGCCTCCCTCCCTCTTTCCCTGTAGTGCCTGTGAGCTCCCTCACTGTGTCCCTCTCGTTCCCTGTCTATCTCTCTCTCTCTCACTCTCCGTGTCCCTCTCACTCCCTGTCTCTCTCTCTCTCCGTCCCTCTTTCCCTGTAGTGCCTGTGAGCTCCCTCACTCTCTGTGTCCCTCTCGTGATGTCACCCTGCTCTATGTCCCTTGATTCCTGTTTCTCCCTTTGTGTCCCTCTCTCCCTCCTTTTCTGTGCCCCTCTCACTCTCTGTATCTCTCACTACCTGTATTTTTCTTTCTCCCTCTCTCTGTGTACCTCTTACACTCTGTCTCTCTCTCTCACACTCCCTGCCTCCGTCTTTCCCTTTTGTCCCTCTTTCTGTCTCTATGTGTGCCTTTCTCCACGTCTCTCTTTCTGTGTCCCTCTCGCTCCCTCTCTCTCTCTCTCTCTGTGTCCCTCTCGCTCCCTTTCTCTCTCTCTGTGTCCCTCTCACTCCCTGTCTATCTCTCTCTCCCTGGCACCCTCTCTCTGTGCTCTCCCTATGCCTGGATCTCTCTGAATGATCCTGTCACAGCCCTTTATCTCTGCTCTTCTCTTTCCCTCTATCACTGTCTGGATCCCCCTCTGGCCCTTCCCTCTCTCTATCTGTCACTCTGTCTCACTCTGTGTCTCCCTGCCTTTCTGTATTTCATTCTTTCTGTCTCTGTCTCTCTGCCTCTCAATCCCCTTCCCTACCCCACTCTGGCTCTGTCCCCCTCTCCTGGCTCCCCAGATATCAGGAACTCAGTCACAAGCTCCCTGTCCCAGCTCTCCCACCTGTCTGCTCCGTCTCTCCCCGTCCGGCTGGAATGGCTTTCTCTCTCTCTGCTGGGCTGAGTTTAGCTGATGGTTTCTCTCTGCAGGGATCACAGGAAGACTCCTGTTTCCTGCTCAGCCGCCCGGGCTGTGACGCGAACCAGTCCGAACGAGAGACACCGAGCCTGGGACCGTGGAGAGGCGGGGGAGAGTGAGTGAGAGAGAGAGACAGCGATAGAGAGCGAGGCGTGGAGGATAGAGAGAGAGGGGGAATGAGAGAGAGAGAGATAGCAATAGAAAGGGGGGGATAGTGAAAGAGGTGGAGAAGGTGGGGTATAGAGGGAGGCGTTTAGAGAGAGGGAGAGGCGGTGAGAGAGAGCGAGTAGGGATAGAGAGAGAGTGTGGGGATAGGGATAGAGAGAGAGAGTAGGGATAGAGGGAGAGAGAGTAGGGATAGAGATAGGGATAGAGAGAGAGAGTAGGGATAGACAGAGTGTGTGTAGGGATAGAGAGAGGGGAGACAGGGGAATAGAAGTGGGGTAGGAAGAAGAATGGATAGAGAGATAGGAATATTATAGAAAGGGAGAGAGACTGAAATAGGGAGATTTGGGAACCGTCCCCGGATATAACCCCGGTCCCAGATTTCCGCTGCAAAACCTGCTCATTCCGCACTGCAGCCCCGGTCCCCGCCGGTATAACTCCGGTCCCTGTCGGATAGCGATTATTCGCTGGCAGTATAACTCCGGTCCTTCTTAGTACCATCAGCCAGTATTGTTCCAGTCTGGCCCTGTCCCCGGTGATACAGTCCCTGGATCAATCACGATCACAAGTGAAATACCGGACCTTGTCCGGGTAACTCCAGTCCCAGACAGTAAAGCTGCTGTCGGCATAACTTCGGTCTGTGTCAGTATAGCTCCTGTCCGCGTACTTGTCAGAATAGCCCCGTCTTTGTTAGTATAGCTCCTGTCTGTATCCTGAAACCACCAGAACCTGTCAGTTAAACCCCAGTCCCTGCTGGGATAACTCTGGTCCCTGCTGGGATAACTCTGTTCTCTGCTGGTAAAGCTCTGCTCCCTGCTGGTACAACTCTGTCTTCTGCTGGTATAGTTCTGCTGCGATAACTCAGCTCCCTGCTGGTGTAACTGTACTCTTTACCCAGGAGAACTCTGCTCCGTCTCATAACATCCCACTTCTTCTCAGTATAACTGTGGTCCTTGTTGGTACAACCCCATCCATGTCAGTACAACTTTGGTATGTATTAGTATAATGTCGGACCCTGTTGGTGCAACTCTTGACCTTGCTGGTATATTGCTGGTCCCTACTGGTAAAAGCAGTCCTTCTCAGTATAACTCCTATCCCTGAGGTATAACACTGGTTAGTGCCCATAAAACCACATCATGATGCAGGATCAATGGTAGGCCACTCAGCCCATTGAGTCTACTCCACTATTCAATGAGATCATGGCTGAGCTGATAATGCTCAACTTCATTTCCCTGCCTTTCCCCCCGTAACCCTTGATTCCCTTCCTGATTAAAAATGTCTATCCCAGCCTTGAACATAATTAATGTTTTCTAGAAGGAGTTGGAGATTACACCCTCTGGTCCTATACTTTCCCACAAGGGGAAACAACCTTTCCTCACCTACACTATCAAGACCCCTAAGAAGTTTATACATTTCAATAAGGTCATCTCTCATTCCTCTATATTCCAATCTCTGCTCATAAGGCAACCCCTCAATGCCAGGAACCATTCTAGTGAACCTTCTCTGAACTGCCTCCAATGAAATGATACCTTTCCTAAATAAAGGGACCAAAACTGCTCAAGTAGTCCAGATGTGGTCTCACCAGCACCTTGTACAGTTGTAATAAGACTTCCCTACTCTTATACTCCAACCCACTTGAAATAAGGGCCAATATTCCATTTGCCTTACTGATTAGCTGCTGCACCTATGTGTGAGGTTTTTGTGCTCCATGAATAAATATCCCCAACTCCCTCTGTGTTGCAGCTTTCTGTTTTTTTCTCTATTTAAATATATTCAGCTCTTCTATTCTTCCTTCCAAAATGAACAACTTCACATTTTTCCACATTATACACCATTTGCCAAGCTTTTGCCCACTTACTTAACCTATGAATATCTCTCTGTAAACAGTTTGCATCCTTCTCACAACTTGCCTTTCCACCTGTTTTGGTGTCATCTGCAAATTTAGCTACAGTACATTCACTTTCTTCCTCCACATCATTAATATAAGTTGTAAACAGTTGCAGTCCCATCACTGATGCCTGCAGAACTCCACTGGTTACAGGCCACCACCCTGTAAAAGAGACCCTCAGTGTTTCTTACCCATCACCTCCAACACCACAAGCTCTTATCTTATGACTTAACCTTTAATGAGGTACCTTGCTGAATACTTTCTGGAATTCCAAATACAACACATCTACTAGTTCCCCTATATCCACTCTGATTGAGACTCCCTCGAAAAACTCTAGTTAATTAGTTAGGCTCTATTTCCCTTTCATGAAGCAGTGCTGACTCTGCTTAATCAGAGTATGACTTTCTAAATGTGCTGCATTGATATTGCCTTGGCATTAGAAGTACACACCTAAATGCTTCTTCTATGTTATGAGCATTTCTGTCTCTACCATCCTTACAGGCAGTGAATTCCACATTCCCATCACCCTCTGGGTGAAAATATTTCACCTTACATCTCCTCTAAACTGTCTTCCCCTTACCTTAAATCTATGCCCCTGGTCGTTGATCCCTCCATTAAGGGGAAAGGTTTCTTCCTGTCTACCCTATCTCCATTCTTCATAATTTTATGATCTTAATTGTGTCCCCACTAAATTTCCTCTGCTCTAAGGAAAACAACTCCAGTCTGTCCAATTTCTCTTCATAGCTAAAACTCTCAAGCCTAAGCAACATCTGGTAAATCTCCTTTGCTCAGTCTTCCAGTGCTATCACATCCCTCCTATCTAATGCTAGTCTGGTTCCTGAGAGTATAGCTTCCTTCCCAGTTCCAAATACACTAGTATAGCTCTACTCCCTGCCTGTTTCCTAGCCAAACTGTTTCAGTTCAGTTACCACACTAGCATCCACCTGGCCATATTAAAAGTTTTCCAGATAAATCCTGCATTCAGCAGTCAGGATGACCCGACCAATTACCACTAGTCTATTCTTGATCATTCAGTAAAATGATGGAAGATGTCATTAACAGTGCTATCAAACAGCACCTGCTCAGAAATAACCTCTCAGCAACGCCCAGTTTTTGGGTTCCGCCAGAGCCACTCAGCTCCTGACCTCATTACAGCCTTGGGTCAAACATAAACTAAAAAGTTGAATCCCAGAGGTGAGGTGAGAGTGACAGAGCTTAATATCAAGGCTGCATTTGACTGGGTGTGGCATCAAGGAGCCCTAGCAAAACTGGAATCAATGGGAACTGGGACAAACTTTCCGGTGGTTGGAGTCATACCTGACACATAGGAAGATGGTCGTGGTTGCTGGAGGTCAGTCGTCTCAGCTCCAGGACATCTCT